TCTTAAAACTAAAGGTAAGCTTTCATACAATCCAGTGGAGTTTTCCAATGCAGGTGACTTCACACTAACTGTATGTGTAAAGTCAAGTGCTGCCCATGAGTAACTGTTTTTCAAAGTTCTCATCGTGTGCATACCATAGATCTGTTGCCACCTGGTTCCAAAATCCAGATCTTGTAGAGCATCTCTTAACATCTGTGCTTGTTCGAGTGTCTTTGTTGCCTGTTTCCACCCACATAAAGCATCATACACCTGTTTTCTTCTCATTTGCCCTTCGATGTCTGTAATTCCCAGCTTGGTGAGAGCAGCACACACCTTCCCCAAATCATCCTTTGGCGTGTAATACGCGAGTAGCCAAAGTTCATAGAAAGAGACGACCCCTGTAAACGTGCCATTTGTTACGAATTCGATATTAGAACCAATTCAGTAACATGCAGGCACACTAAACACGTTATATATATATATATCTATATAAATATACCTTGTATTCGAATAGATGTATGACGACACATAGGCCTACATGTTACCAGTTAACTCAATTCAATAGACCTTAATTCACTAGATCTTAATCATGGATAATCCTTGATTAAGATCAGCTTTGTTTGCCTATTGACATAACTTTAACTTTTGCCGAGGTTGCTGCTTACATTTTAGTTGGAATGGTTATTGGCATTCAATGAAAACATTTTCGTAGTTATATGTTGAAAATATTTTAAATTCCTAAATACTGGAACCGTAATTAAAGATAAACCTGAGTACTGGTAATGCGATTGCATTGTGAAAGAAAAGGTGTGGAATGGATCAGAAAAGTTGATCATAAAGCATGCAAGTAATGGTGTGTAATGCAAGGTTCTATAGTCATCACAATCATCATAAATTTGGCAGAGTCTTGGTAAAGTAACAATCACTTACACAGAAAGATGTATATGGGACAACGCACATGGTGTCGGGGCCAGTACTACCATGATTTCCTTATCTTTATATGCTCATTACTCAGCCAGTATACATTTTCTTCCAAAATTGTTCGGCACATGACATTTATTTGTAATCTTGAACATTCAGTGTAAGTTTCGTTAGATTCTGTGAGAATTCATTTTCATTTTTTACCAGAACTCAAGTTTATCTTTAAGCCACCTAAGTTCAAACAAATCTTACATTTTCATAAATATTTGATTAGCCCTTGCGAATATTTATTGTATACACTTCCGTTTCAAATCGTAACATAGAAAGGGATGTGAGGGAGAGTATATCAAACAAAGAACCCCCCCCCCTCTCACCCCCGCTAAAATAACACTAATCATTCTACATGGGGTATACATGAAGCATAAATGTAATCATGCGACCTACCTACTACATGTACCTTCATTTTCTGCACCAATGGCATAGCCTCCTCGACATCTCGTTTTTCATTCGTACCTAAAGTTTTAAAATCGATAGTGTGCCTTTTAAACTGTGATGAGACGAGAAATAGAAGCCAGTAGCTACTTTGGATAGCACTGTTGTTCATATTTAAATGAAGGGTAAATTGCTTAATATTATTACAGACCGGGCTTATACTGTCAGTAAATTCATCCACTTGAATGTTGTACTTTTTATCATGAAAGTTGAAAAGGGATAAATAAATTTACTGGATTTATGTTTAATGGCTGACAAAAATTTCATTTATGCAAACTTGCAAATATGTTAAGCTATAAACTGATATATAAAAACTGAACTGTCCTATGCAGGTCCACGAAAGTCCAGAAAACATTATATAATTATTGTTTTCATTTTCAAAAAAGCATTGCCCTTCAACAAAATAATGAAAAACTACTGTAAACCAAAGAGCCACTTAAAGGGCAATTCAACCTGTAAACAAGTTTATTCGAAAAGTGTGAAAATCAGAAAAACAGAATGGCGAAAATGTGATATAAAACGGGTTATTATAAGAGAGTTATGGATGTTTAAAAAATGAGATCACTAAGTCTATTAAAATTTCAAATTTGCAAGCGTATCAATGGATTGTGAATTACTCGTTCGGCAACAGTGAAACTTGTTCACTCACTTATTTTTTTCACGTTTGGATTTCGGCATCAGTCTACTCTACAATTTACTAAATTCACAAATTTCAAAGTTACACAAACTACAAAACGCAGCTGCACGCATCATTTCTCTGTCAAGCAAACATAGTCATATTTTACCTATCCTACACAATCTCCATTGGTTGCCTGTAAAAGAACGTATAATTGTCAAAATCCTTCTTTTAGTTCATCAAATCATGAACAGAACAGCTCCTGAATACAACCAGTCCTTAGTTCACCTCTACCAACCCACACGTACCCTCCGATCCTCCAACTCTGGTCTTCTACACATACCGCTTTCAAAGAAATCTTGGGGGGAACGAGCTTTTGCTCATGCCGGACCAGCCCTGTGGAATTCACTTCCACAGGAGCTGAAGAACTTCGACTCTTCAACGTCTTTTAAGAGTAACCTTAAATCCCATTGGTTTAATTTCGCGTTTCGAAGACAGACATTCATTCATTCTTTCATTTTTGTAAATGTAACGATTCTTTGTCATGATGTAATGTGTTCCCTAATATTTTTAAGCACCTTGAGCAGTTAATTAAATTTGATAATGGCGCTATATAGATCTCATGTTTTATTATTATTATTATTATTATTATTATTATTATTATTATTACTCATGGACCACTCTCAGGTTTGTCATGTACAAAATATCAATGATATTTTTTTCCTCCAAAATGACTTCTCTTTTGAGGCACTACTCAAAATATATTTTGGATAGCACATTGCTACAGGTCTTCTTGGAGGAAAATACTCTCCTAAGTCGTACATTCTGAGAAGAAAAAAATCCCGTTCTAGTTAGGTTGTATATTGGAACAAATGCGAAAGTTGTCCGGCACTACATCACGTTGACATTATCTATTCAGCCTGCAATTTAAAGTTCCCATAAGCAGGTATCAAAATTCATAACTTTCTCACATTTCGTCCGATTTCGTTCAAACATACACCAATGTCCTTGCTATCTTTGCTATCAAAGTGACTCGGTAACGTTGCCTCAGATTCTAAAACAAAATCTTCGATTCAGCTCATGCTGCAATCATAATTCAGTCAGGAATCTCATGAAATTTCATTTTTCGTTTTCCTAACGGTTTTTATAACGCTACGGTCTACTGTGGAAAATGAATATGGTGAAACCGGTCACTCAAAGATGTTCACATTTTTGAGGCACTTCGTGATCATTTTGAATCGCCATTGTGTTACGGCTTCAATGTTACACCATATCACAGACACTGATAACACGTAGGGATATGTATCTCAGATTTAACATTGTTAAACGATGCCTTTAAGATTGGATTTCCCTTTAAAGACCATACCCGAACTGAAAAATGAAATGGATGTATTATATATCAACGGAAATACTGTAAGCCGAAAATTCCAATAACATCAATTATATGCCATTTTAATGTTGATCAGGGGAGTATCAGCTCTCTGAAAATTCAAAATCTAAATCTTTGAATATCAGAAGTTGTCGACCTAAAAACTTGCTATCAACTTGATGACATAATTGTATGTTGATTACGCATATACACAATGACTTTGCATTAATTAAGTACGGCTCATCGCCTCAACTATATAGGTTAACCGATGGGGTCCACATGTTATGTCGTCACTGTAACTTCGGCAAATTTGACATTATGTTGACCCTAAAATTGGATAGGTGTGGAAAATGAAGTTTTAATGCGAATGTGCAATAATGAAAAGGTAAATTTTTTTTTTATTTTTTTATATGTGTATTCTAAATTCAATCGGTTTTCCATTTATAACAATTTGTATTTTCATCGGATAGGGTCTTTAAAGGTACTGTGTCCTTTTTGCAGCCAACATCAAATTATGTAGAACATTGCAGGAATTATGGATATGTCGTGTATGTCCTATCTGTGAAATTTAAACATTAGGAGTGTCCTAGTATGCAAATTATGCAAGGAAATACGTTTAGCTTCTAGACTTCACTGTCAGACACAATTGAGTGACTGACTGACATTTTTGTTTTCTTCTTTGGTAATAACAAACATAACATAGCTGTAACAGGTGCATTAGCATTTGTCTATATCAATAACCCATTACTTGTAAAATTAAACTAATTGAATCTTTGTGCATCACGAAACTTACCACAACTTGGCAAAAGGGTCTGAAAATCAGACTATTACTTAGGTGATTGCGCAAATATTCATAAATGAATCATACACGCCATTTAAAGTAAAACAACAACAACAACGCAATCAATTATTAAAGTCGATTCGACAACTAATGTTTGTTATTTTCTCACTAAAAGCCATCTTCAAGCCCTATCGTTTTGAGGAAAGTTCTAAATTCGTATTGTCTTTGAAATGCCGTTGGAATTTCTTTTATTTATTTGTTTTGCCTGAAAATGGGACATAGTACCTTTAGTTATCTCTCCAAGATTATATGTTCTATTCATGATAAAGCTGAAAGAGAAAGTAATGATCATTGTATCTATCCTATATCGCATCTGTGTGCTCCGCATGTAAAATGTAATCAAGATAAACGGGTTAATTGAATTAAAGATTGTTAATACTTACTTTTTCTTTGATGACGTTTCCACACAAATAATATTATGCCGGCCACAGCGATTACAACCAGGATAACCATCGGTACAACTGTAAAATAGAAAATCTCAGTTATCTGGCTTTGTGTTTGAGTGATGTTCTTTTGGTAGACATAGTTTAAAATTTGTTTAATCTCATAAATGTCTACGCATGTCAACCCCATTGTTTTCGTTTACCTTAGATAGTAAGTGTAACAATTATATAATTGTTTTAAGGAAACGATACAAAGAAAATGGAATCAGTTAATTTAGACATTTGGGGAGTATTGAGTGTATTACTTTTAAATAAAGAACATTCGCGTTTCATTCTGATCAAATTACGTAAATAGCTCTTTGCCTACCAATCTTGGCGGGGCTGGTGCCACTTGCTTTCTCAGTTATCGAGGGATTTGCTGGGGTTGCCGGGAATGAAAGGGGTGTCGTATGTGAATCTCGTGGTGTAGGGACTGTAGGGGATCTGATCAATACTGTCGCCGTCTTTTCGTCTTTCGTTCCAGGTATATCTGACGCAACACATACATAGGGTATCTCACTTGCTGAACCGTTAATCATTATCGATTTGTTCTTTGAACCGTCTTTATTTTCCCGAACATTGCTACCTATGTTGGTGATCTTGTTAGATCCATGTAGGAAGAAAAGGTTTAAGTCCGGGAAGAATCTGGAAGCTGAGCATGTTATGTTCATCGTAGTATCGTTAGTTGGAAGACTGCAAATTTGTGTAGTCTTCGAAATGTCATTCAAAGTGCATTCTTCGATGATTGGGTAAGGTTCTTCAGGAGGAGCTTCGAAATAACAGATAATAAATAAATTACACATTGGGAAAGTGTGCACTTTATACTCAAAACCACTGTGCACCGTTTTTTATATAGCTGGGGAAACGTATTGATTAGAGAGTAACTTTTATTCAGTTAAAGATACATATCACCGAATATTGAGTAAAATTCCAATAAACATTTGTAATCACTGTTTACCCAATTTTGTTGAAACATTACCCGATTTGGTGAAATATCACTCCTGACGACTGATAGTCAACCTGTTCAAAACGTCAAGCCACTCCTACTACCCATGCCCTCCAAAGGCGCTACAGTAATTCTCCTTCGAACTTTAAGCTAAGAAGGATAACCAACAGGTATTTTTCTTCAAGACTACCAACAGTCCTTTTCAGGGCTACACACACTCAAGAAAAGAAAGATATAAACCGAGAGTCCTTTTTAGGACTACCCACCCCCACCCCTCTCACACGGTGCAACCGCAAACTACTGTATATTACCCGATTGTGTTTAAACTGCAGATACTTCACACATGCTTATTGTAATATATGTTTACCTGCATGTACCTATAACCAAAACAAAGCCACGGAGCAAAGGAATTATGAGTAGCTGTTATAGGAGACATTACAAAATAAATTACAAACCGTTTATAATCCTCTACCTTTTGTTAAGCAGAATATAAGTAAGTATTGAATACGAATTTCGTTGACGAGTTATTTCTAAGATTGATCTCACAGCGTAATTTTTTACAAATTATTATTGATAATCTTTAGATGTATAACAACCATACGTTTGTGTTAATAGGAAGGTGGAAATACGTATTAATCTATTCAAGGTCTGATAACCATGTTGACCTAGGGCACAATGATAATGTTTATGTTTGGAGTCAGAAGGGCGTTAACTTATAGCTCTCAACAAAAGGACTATACTGTCGTTCAGCCTTATCTGTTTCATGGCTTACCATATATTTTTACATCGGTGAAGTTGTGAATGAGAATACCAAGGTAATTCGAAACACGGCATATGTATCGCCCCTGGTCTGCCATTCGAGCATCTTCGATAACCAGAGAGTAATCATCCGTCATGTGACACGCTTTGTTGTTAACACATGACCCAGAGATCTCTTCCTCATACGCCCACGAGATCAGGTCAATTCCGCGTTCTGGGTCATCTCCTTTCTTCCAGTAGACGGCAACGGGGGCTGCATAAAACTCGCAAGTTAGAACGATCTCTTTCCCTTTTTGGACTGTTTTATGTAGGTCCGTGTAAACGACACCGTCAGGTACATCTCCTGCAGCACCTACATCAAATATTTAATAATAATGAATAATTTCTGTAAAAATCAGCAAAGTGAAAAATAATTACAAAGAAGAAGATGATGATAATGAAACAAATTATAAGAATAATAATTCAATAGCTTTTTCTTCCACTTCAATAACAGTTGCACATCAAAAAAATTAGAAATACAATTCATGTACAGTAACATAATATATAAGGAAAAGGGGGAACTAAGTAAAGCAGAAGCTTGTGGGTTGAAAAGTTCCCTCAGTACATAATCATAATCAAATTGTGTACATAAATGAAAAGTGAGACAAATTTACATAGTACAAAACTGAGAAATCCCCACACACATCCATGTATACAATCAAACACACATGGATAAGGAGGGGTCAGTCAGTTGGTGACTGGTGCAAGTCAGTCCCCTAATCATACATGTAAGCAGGTAAAGCGACAACAGACTAACTTCGACCAACCACAAAAAGAGTGACGGGCCCTTGGAACAAATCTCATCTAAATAATAAACATTGTATTAAATTAATGATTGTAAATGGGCAACAAGCTTGACTTACTTTTTTTTAATGAGCTCAAATAACTGCATGGTGTAACATTCATGAAATTAATAACAATAATAATAATAAAAATATTGATAATAATAATAATATTGATAATAACGATAGCTGTAACTATTATTGTACACAGAACAGTTGGAAAATGAACAGTTTGTCAGAGATAACAGAATTCCATGATTTCTTGAAAAAAGAGGTAACACCCCAGTCACACCTCAGAACCCACTCCACACCAACCTTAAACCGACGAAACGTTTGTCATTTAGGGTATAATGTAATAGTTTCTTCGTTCTGTTGTCGGTTTTGTGTCGGTTTCCATGGTGTGACTGATATTTCATCTAACAAAGCTATAACGCTCAATTGTTTACATTATTGTTATTTGAAATGTATACTGAACAAATTGTTACTTTTCATTTTTGTTCTGATTGTGATTGTCCTTGTATAATATTTTGGTTGCTTTGGCTCCACTGTGTGCAAAAGAAAGCCTTTAATGCATTGCCATCATTGTATTATTACTACCCTCTTCAAGCTACTGTTCTTAGATCCAAGGTTTGCCTTTTTATTTGAGAATGTGGCCCTTGAGTGGCTCTTATATTCGGTGACACTTCTTTTAGTTCTTTTTAGATTTTCCCGTACATAGTATTAAGTAAACAAAATAATAAATTAACAAGTGTATGTCACACTCGTTCCTATTAACTTTTGAAGCTGGTTCCCCTAATGTTATCTTCAACATTTATAACTTATCATTATCATTTATCATAAATTATTACATGATATGAACTAATATAAAGAGCTGAATTATGTATAATAAGGATGACACAAATAAGACATTAAATCGCTTAGAAGATTTGTCCATTAAAGTTGAGTTTTTTTGTTTAGATCAATGTAAGTACAAATGCAATGTGAAGGCCTACAGTTAGGGATAAAGTTAATTTTATCAAACGACAATGATCCACATCAACATTATATCAAACGAATGATCCACATACTAGTGGTCAAGCGTAAGAGTAACTATCCTCTAAACCATTCACACATCCTCGGCTGTCGCTTCGTCTGTATCATTCTGTTCCATAATTAACGCTTAGGGATAATCCATACTAACACCCTTTATTGTATTAGTCGTATATCAGTGGAATATCTAAGTTCAACCGGCACGACTCACTATGCAATTAACCCTAGCAATTAACCTAAGCCTCACCTAGAACCAAACCCCACCTTATCCATATACTCTTCCCCAAATAAAATTCATCGGCGGAGCAGAAGTCAGAGCACCGAATAATAATCAGACACCAGCTTACAATATACCGATTACTAATAGCATACCATAAACTAACGCTCACCCATACTTTGTTGAATGATTACTCCATAGAATTAAACATAAAGACACAGTAGTTTTAATTCGTATAAGATCCGCATACGGGTATACAGCCTATTCCATAATGCTCTACAGTGCGTGTGCGTAATAGAGCGTGCTCGAGAGGCATTCCCGAAATGTTAATTTTGGGGGTTTACAAACATAAGACGCAATATATACATGTATATAGTAAAACTACTGTGTACTATTTTTACTACGTTTTACCTCCTATGAAGCTTGCGAGCAGAAAACTGCTCACACATGCCGAGAGAAGCAGCCATTTCCTTCGATCCTCCATGTTCACGTTCACGCGGTGAAAATGCGCGATTGTCATATATTTACTCAGAAGTTAATATTAACTACTGAAATGCCATAAATCTTATGGGTTGTTCGCACTGCATTCTGATAACCTTGAGTACTATTTAGTGTCATAAATATGCTTTTACACAATCAGGACTATAATATACAATGTTGGTCATAATAGTGGAATAATTTTGTTTACCCCAATTTATTGAATGATTTTTTACTTTGATTTATTCCTAATAGATCTAGATAATAGTATACATTCTCAGATTTTATTGAATGACAATTGGGAAGTGTTTGTTTTCGGTGACTGCTAAAGCACGTGTGTGCTACAATGCTAATCAACTAGGGGACCTACGTCCTTAAGTCATAACTGACAGTAATGGGTATTAATACCTCATAAAAGGGCACTAATATAGCACATTGACACGGTTTTGATCATGGGGACTCCCAATAACGACGCCATTGCTTAGTCAATGAATCATGAATGTACGCAGCGGGCGCTAGGGTACGTGCATTTTGCCCCGACCCCCAACATAAACAAAATCGTCTATGTGGGCATGCCTTGAACCATAATGCATGGCCCTACAGAGGATTTTTTCCTGTTGGGGACTGGGGGGAAATGCAATGAATTATTGAAAATTTATTGCATTTTCTTTGTTTGTTTGTTTTTATTTCGCAACCTCCGACGGAGTGTGAAAAAACGAAGGTTTTTGCTTGCAATGTAAATTCCTTTTGACGAGCACCCAACCGATTCCTAATCTACAACAATGTAAGAGGGGAATTAAATTGTTTATACTCTTTCTTTAAATTTAATAATCATATCACATATTCAGATAATGATGATTGCTACTCAAACGTAGAACGATATTAGTTGTTGTTCATAATGTCAGTGGGCATTAACGGTTTTTGTGTTCCTCATGTTGTAAAGTGATGTTATAACACAAATAACTAAACGCAATGGCCGAGGTGGGGGGGGGGTGTAGATACGTGTGAAAATCGTTTATTTTAAAACAGTTATTAAAACATATGCTATTTTTTGTAAAAAACTCAGTGATGATAGGTGTGGATAACAAGTTGATCAGGTGCGAGTAGTGCACCATGCTCACCTATGATAATTCCGATTTTACCTAGGAACGTGCTCCTTTCCTTTTCTAATAAGTGTCATTTTAACTTTGGATATGTTTCTCCTTTTCCTTTCACCAAGAAATGTGCTCCTAATTCAAATCGACTACAGGCATTTTTTTTCCAATTTCACCCAAAAGTCGCTCGCTACGCTCGTTCGCATTTTATAGTAATACAGATCTTGTCTACTTGATTAGGAAATTTGTTCCTCTTTGTTAGATGTGTTTTGGGGCACTGCGACCTAACATTTTTTGCACTTGTTGACCGCTCACTTTCAAATAAATATTCAGAACATCACACCTAACTGCAAAGTATGATGTTTCCGGCCCATCTAAAGTGTTGGCTGCCCCTAATTCGGCACAAATTTGATGGCAAAATGTTACTTAATTGTATCATAGTGTGAAATAAGATGTCATTTATGACACACTTCTCCAAAGATTTCTCCTTACCCCCCCCCCCCCGCCCCTGAAAGAAAAATGCGTTTGAAGACAAATATTAATAAAAGAATATATAATTTGGTTCTAGGACGCCTGCCCCCTGGACATCCACCCCAGTCAATTACCCCCTAGGAAAACTAAACCCTACGGCAATCACCCTCTAGAACGACTACCCCCTGAAACAACCATCGAGTTCCCCTAGGGGTAGTCGTCCTAGAGGGTAGTTGTCCAAGGGCGTAGTTGTCATATGGGGTAGTTGACTGGGGGGGGGGTGGTTATCGCGGGTGGATGTAGGTGTTCGGATACGATATAATTTGTATTTTCTGTTGTACGCAGAAAAAAAAACTGAATTGTGTATTTGTTTTCATCAATATTCGACTTCAAACACATTTGTTTTAATAATCCTTGCAGAAATGTGTCTTAAACACTTTAGAGGGGCTTTAGAACGTATCCCGGACCATGCAAAGAGAAAAAAAACATACAATGAAATCATCCCTGATAATCTAATCACAATGTACGGGTCTAAGGCCATATTAATGTCTAAAAGTTGTATATTTTTGCTTTTGCTATTGTAGCGCAGTAGAATATATACCTAATGTTGGATAGTTTCTGCGCTTTATAAATGTACTATTATTATTATTATTATTATTATTACCCCTTTCTTTCCAGAAAGTGCCCTTTTTTGTTCCCCCCCCCCCACACTCACACACTTTGAAAGACACTCCGCTGCCCTGCGCATGGATGATTGCCTATTTTATTGATTTAATTCTTAAACCAATATCTTTAATATGTTTGTGAAAGCTGCGTCAAGAACATGAACTTCGGACCCACGTGTTTGCCGCTTATAAATGTAAATTATTAACTTGATCAGATAACAAATATCATTTTAAAATGTATTATATTTGCAAAGAACTGATTACGACAGGGATTTAGCTACGTTTCTAAACATAATTAGACGCCGTGTATTATAGCATAACGTAATGTAGTTCGTTTATGGTTTTCACTGCTATACAAAATATTAACAGTAGTTTGTTAAATAATAATGGGTTTTCATTTCAAGCTTTTGATTTACAGAGAGGTGTCGAACAAGGTTTGCCCTCTATCACCTCACCTGTTCCTTATTGGAGCAGTAGCTCTTGAATTGTTGATTTAGATTATTTTGTTTAATCTGTTTACAGGACACATTAAGAAAGCAGAAAAAACGTTCGAATCAGGGGAGTTTTTCCGGATAATCCATTCATACGAAATAAGTGCTGAATTTACAACGTCTTTACTTCATGTTCAGAACACTCTTCCGTGCACCCTTGGTCACATGATATACATGAGTCACTTAAAGCCACACTGTACTACTTGTAGCTACTTGCTCCATCTGTATAGAAAACTTCCCCAATCGGTGCCTTTTGGTCCCCATAATCCTCTTTTTCTTATGTTAATTGAGAGTTGAGTTAATGAGATAGCTACCTGTCAGTGACCTCGCTGTGTAGTCTAATCCGTTCTGGCTGAACTACCACAGCCGGTCTTTAAGTATCTGAGTATTAATCTCGTATTTAATCTTGTTCACAATTAGCACCGAATGACCTTCTGTAGGGAAAACACTACAATGATTCAAACATGGAATATCTTAATTTACCTAACTTGCATACATTTCCCTTTAGCGTCAAAGTATAAAATACAATATTTTCCGGTAAAATGAGTTACAGGGTTTCCGCATACTCCTCTTTTCCGAATATCATCGTAAAACGCCTTGAATGCCATAGTTTGCTAAATATTGCTTGTTTTGGTATCGAAAATTGAGACTAATACTATAATATCTTCATCTTGTAAGAAATTCAAAATGAAATATATCGTTTATTGATATATTGCAACTGCATGGACACTAGAACTTGACACCTACGTGGTCACGGGTAATATGTGTCAATGATTTATTCGATCTGCTTACATTATATACATGGTAAAATGCACATTCCAAATATGAACCTTAAAAACAATTCCTAAGGGGCGTTTCATTTGCATTGTTTTTCTAAATTATCTTTAAGAAAAGATACTTACAGTATATGATACCCGCTTTAAAGGCACCAGACAGTATGCTGGTTCTCTTGCCACGTTTGGTTCTTTAAAGTTGTGAAAGAACCTGAACAACAGCTTTATCAAATTCACGTGTTAAGATTAGAAGAAAATTCGTCTTGGTACTAGGTCATCCATTTCTTTACCATGTGTAATTTGAAGCAGTACTGAAATGATGAATTGTCTGCCTCAGCGAGCTATTTATTGCACGGTACCAGCTCATGGTCAATTTGCAGACAGTACGTAACCCAAAACTAAATTTCCATGTGATGCAAGAACCAACATCACAGCTAAGGCGAATCCGAAAAACCTACCCCCTGGCCAACCACCCAAGGATCACTACCACCAGTCAACTACCCCCTAGGACAATTACCCCCTAAGACGACTACCCCCGGGACAACTACCACCGGGAAAACTAACCCCGGACAACTACCCCCAGAAAACTACCCCCTAGGACAACTAACCCTAGGACAACTACCCCCGGACAACTACCCACAGAAAACTACCCCCTAGGGCAACTACCCCCGTACAACTACAACCCAGAAAACTACCATCCAGACAACTACACCCTAGGATAGTTGTCCGGGGTAGTTGTCCTAGAGGATGGTTGTCTTAGGGGGTACTTGTCTGGGGGTAGTTGTCCGGGTGGTAGTTATCCTGGGGTAGTAGTCCTAGGGGGTAGTTGTCTGGGGGTAGTTGTCCAGGAGTAGTTGTCCTAGGGGGTAGTTGACTAGGGGTGGTTATCCGGGGGGTGGATGTCCAAGGGGTAGGTGCCCTAGAACCGAGCTAAGAAAGCAGCCAGTTTTGCGACCGTACTGCTGTAGTTGTCCTGAAATGGCGCTCGAGGAATTTTACGCTAGTGCTTCTATTAAAAGTATGTCTTTACAAAAGAAGTCCACCCTGACGCCGAACTCATAAGAAACACAAACACTAATATTATAAAAACCGACGTTTTTCGTTTAAATGTATTTTTCCAGTAAAGTAGATGGTAGCAGCTCTTAAAGGCAAACCAAGAAATTCTCTCCATAATGGTGTTAGGATTTTACATTTTGGGCATAACCAGATAAGGAAGGCAAGTGAAGAGAAAAATAAGAGAGAGAGAGAGGCTAAGAATGACAACTTAGATAATAGAGCTTATTACTGCGAACCGCTAACAGAGCCCTGTTTGTTAAGGTATACAAATAATTGTTTGCACGCAAACATATTAGCAAACAGTATTTGCATATCACGTGATAAACGAAATGAAACGTCATAATGTCTGTCACTGATTAATATTAGCGTGTTACAAGTGAACGTTACTATTGCGCATTTTCACCGCTTAAATGCAAGAACTTGAAAATGGGGATAAACGAAAAGAACGGCTTCTTTCGGCTTGTGTAAGCTTTCTTCTGCTTGCATGCTTTATTAAATCGTTTGGAAGATATGTCTTTTAAATTTGAGTTTTTTGTTTCGATCACTGTAAGAGCAACTGCAATGTAAATGCCTGCTATTTGGGATAAAGTTGATTGTATTAAATGACAAGGATCCAAATCAACTTTAACAAAATAATGATACACATAATGGTGGTCGGGCGTAAGTGTAATTATCCTCTAAACCATTCACACACCCTCGGCTGTCGCTTCGTTTGTATCATACTGTGCATTAATTACCGCGTAAGGATAACCCCTAGTAACACTTATACTGATGTGTAATACTCGAATATGAATGGAATTTCCGTGTTCAACCGTGCACGACTCACTATGAAATTAACCCTAGCAATTAACCTAAGCCTTACCTCGAACCAAACTACAACCTTATCCCCATACCTATCCCCAAACAAAATTCATCGCCGGAGCAGACTAATAATCATACCCCAGCTTACAATCTATCGATTACTAGTTCGCCCCATAAACTAATGCTCACCCATACTACGTTTAATGTTTACTCTATAAAAATGACGCATGAAGACACAGTAGTTTTAATCCGTCTTAGATTAGCATACGTGTATCCCGGTATCAATATACACCCTATACCGTAATGCTCTGCAGCGCGTGTGGGCAATAGAGTGTGCTCGGGAGGCATTCACGAAATGTTAATTATACTTTGTAGGGGTTTACAAACATAAGGCACAATATATACATGTATATAGAATTAAACCTACTATCTTCTGTGTACTATTTTTACTACGGTTTACCTCCTATGAAGCTTGCAAGCAGAAAACTGCTCACACATGCCGAGAGAAGCAGCCCTTTTCTTTGATCCTCCATGTTCACGTTCTTTCATTCACGCGGTGAAAATGTGCGGCTATAACATTTACTTATACTGAGAAGTTAGTATTAACCACCAAAATTCCATAGGTCTTATGATATTTGATTATTGTATTCTGATAAGCTTGAGTGCTATTTAGGGTCAATTCAATTCAATTCAATTCTGGTTTTATTGTAAATAAAAACATACTGAATAAAAAGTCCGGAGACTCATACAATTCAGTTTACAAATTATAAATACATACAAGAATAAAGAAATCAATACTTTTAGCAATCTTTTAAAAAATATTACTTACTAATTCTAATGAACTAAACAACTAATTTCAAACAATCGTGAAATAATACCTGTTCTAATTGTGCAATTAAAACTTTTAAATAGTAAAATAAGTTGTTACCATTTTCTAAATGTCATATGCAATTTTGTAATACACTTTCAAATTAATAAGTAGTCTTTTTTAAACCTAGTTAACATTTCTTTAAAAATATATTTATATATAGATGATTATCCGAGAGATATGATAATTCAAAATATACAATTTATGTTAACTTACAGAGTATAGTCCTATCATTTTACAGGTAGTATAAAATCTGATTTAATCTGATTAATTGGCATGACAAGAAATTAATTAATTACATCTAGGTCACATGTGGTCATAATATTGAGTGCAAATATCTATAGATTTGAATTCAGGATTCGTGTGAAGTGGGGAATGGGAGACTGCCTGTAACGTTCTGTTCTCATTTTGGGGGTATTGAGCTGGAGAGAGTTGCGGAGAGTGCGTCGTGAGATAGTTTGTCTGGTTTCAGGTAAGAGATGGCGGTGGCGGTCTGAGATCAGCAGGGACTTAGCAAACTTTTCGCAAAGAACAGAGCGTCGTTCAGACAGTCTGACAACACTCAGCGACTGCAGAAGTTGAGCATAAGACATTGTGTCGGGAAATGTACCAGTGATAATACCCAATGCTCTCCTCTGCAGTCGCTCAATGCTGTTTACTTGGACAACAGTTAAACTAGATGACCAAACGGGTACACCAAATTCAAGACACGGACGAATGTACATCATGTATATCAATACCAAGTCCCGAGTGTTGACACCGTTCCTTTTCAGTTTACTCAGTACATATAGTTTGCGTGATGCGTTTTTGACGATGGTTTTGATGTGTAGATCCCATTTAAGATTATCTTGGATTGTTATACCAAGTAATTTTATATAAGATACCACTTCAAGCTGATTACCATTGATCTCCAAATGGGGGGTAGGCGGTGCATTACGCAAGAATGAGATCAGCATGGTTTTGCACTTCGTTGGATTGGGCCTCATGTCGTTTATTTCACACCAATCAACAAGAGAATCAATGTGTGTTTGTAACTGCGGAGGGTCCGACTTGTTGACAACCTCTAGAAGGCTTAGATCATCAACATATTTCCAGCGGTTTTCTGTAGACAACGCGGCATCATTAACCATTATCAGGAAAATAATGGGTCCTAGTTTAGTTCCCTGAGGAACACCACAAGTGAGGTGGGAAAGATTTGATGTAACCCCGCGATAACGAACAGTTTGCGTTCTTTGCGTCAAGAAACTACAGATAGTCGGGAGAATGGAGCGGTCAACTCCTATGTCAATCATTTTTCTGATTGCTGTGACATGGTTGATATGATCGAAAGCTTTACTGAAATCGATCATGCATAAGTTAACATACTTCCCAGGTCGGTCAATTCCCCGATGAGCATTATCCAAGAGACTGATTAAGTAATGGCAAATTGATGTTCCGGGCATGTTCCCAAACTGTTGGGGATCAATAGCATGGTGCACATCTTCAATAATCCAACTGGCAAGGAATCCCTCAAACACTCGTGCTAATACTGACGTGATAGAAATGGGCCTCAGTTGGTCAGGTGTCGTTGCCGGCCGGACCTTAGGCACTGGACACACTGATGCATTTTTCCAGATATGTGGGAAACATCCATTTTTTAAACAGCAGTTGAAAATGTGGGTGAGCGGCTCAGACAGCTCGTACGCAAATTCCTTGATGAGGCGTGTTGGGCAGTCGTTCGGGTGACCAGCCTTGGAGACATTGACTTTTTGTAGACACTCAAAGACCTTTTGTCGCTCGATGATTGGAGGTGGTGTCGGCGCAGGGAGGTAATCCGGCAACGAAGCCAGGTCGAGAGATGGAAGGGCCGAGCAAATCCGGCTAAAATGAGCGTTTATCTCATTCGCAATCTCTAAGTCGGATTTGTCGGCTGGAAAGCTGAGAGACTGTTTCTTAAGTCCTGCTAGGTGGCGAATTTGCTGGTGCCATTTCCCAGGTTCACTGTGTTTCAGATGTTCCACTTTCCTGCTATAGAGACTTTTCTTGGCAGAGCTGATTTCTCTTTGTACCTTATTTCTTACTCTACGAAATGAGTCATCACCTCGCGTATAGCTGATATTGCGCTGAGTAATGGCCCGGCGGATGGCATCATTCATCCATGGTTTATCGTTGGGACGTCGTTTGACTGTGATAAGATCAAAGTATTGCCGATATTTTGTGTCTAGAAGTTGGTGAAGATTTGCAGTCATTTTGTTTCCATCAGTGGATTCCTTATATTCTGACCAGTCCATCTGCGTGATCCATTGACCAAAGGCGCGAATGGAGGAATCACGAAATGGTCGGAAGGATATTTTTGTAGTGTTACGTGGTGGAATAAGGAGCAGAGGAAAGTAAGTAATAACAGAGAGGTCACTTAAAGCAATGGGTGCTGAAATGACAGGCTCTTCATAACAATCCCCGAGATCTGTCAATAATTTGTCCAGGATGGATGTACCCCTGGTCGGTTCTTTTACTACTTGGGACAAGAGGGTGTGCTGTTCCAAATGATCTGTAGGAAGGTCATTGAAATCACCAAGGATTATGAAAGATGCATTCTCCGACAGGGTTCGAGCCCTATCAATCATCATTATGATGTGATCACTCAGTTGGTCTTTATGTGGAGACCGAGGTGGGGAGTAGAGTACACAAACATATATATCTCTTGAAAGGCGGATAGTAGTAGATGATCGTAGACGAACCCACAAGACCTCCAGATGTCCAGGTACATGTTCTTTGAAGATTTCATAACAGTTTATATTCTTGTCCACATAGAGAAGAACTCCACCACCTATTCGTTCGTTACGATCTTTGTGAAACTGTTTAAATGATGCAAGTTGATATGCAGAAGCCGGGTTGTCCTGGGAAAACCATGTTTCTGTGATAGCAATGAGGTGGGGAACATTTTGCATTGAACAAAGAGTGGCTTCAAACTCACCAAACTTGTTGGCTAAAGAGCGGGCATTAAAGAGCATCACAGCTGGTAGACACGACCTGGTGGCCGTGGGTCGACATGTATCCCTGAGCACTGATTTATCAATCTTTCTAATTCGGATATTGTTAAGCTGTTGCTGCTTTGTCCTATTTGTGATGATGACAGGGATGTTATAGGTCTTTCTTTGCTTTCTTCCCCTGTGTGTTTTCCGTTTCTTTGATATTCCCAAGTCATGAAGGGTGTTCCAGACGGCCTTGTCAAGTCTTGGAGGGTTTTGGTTACCAGAGATGGGATTAAGTGAGTTTAAGCACATTTAAAGCAAGTGGAAAGTTTATCATAAACAAACATTTTCTATTTAAACAAATATGACCCCATTTGTTTGCAGTTGGCACTATAAATATTTGGTAATGATCTTGATTCTCTCAGTTCCCCCTTTCTCGTTCTTGTCGTTTTCCTCTTCCCATGCACTCATAATCTTCATCTACGTTTCTCTCTCTCTCAATCATCCCATTTCTTGTTTTAGCAAAATGTATCTTGGCTTGCATATTTTAAACTACCATTCACAATGCTGGGAAAACCTATACAAAACGGTAAATTTCGTGAAATTCTATTTTCGGTGAGTAAGACGCATGTGTCGTTTGTCGCCGCTCTGCATGATTGCGACGAAATCATGTCGCCCCCAAAACGGAATAATTTACCGGTGATTGAGAGCGAGCATTTACACTGCAAAAACGGGTAGAGTTTCGGCTGGTGTTAGTGGGTCGTTGCCTACGATAAATCGACAAATCTCCGACACTTGAGAAAGAAACGACGGTTTTTGCATTTGATATAAGTGCCTATTATTACTCAAGCGACCCCGACTCTTGCCTGAAAATTGCAAGAAACGAATTTGCATGTTTATACTATTTGTTTACATTTAATAATCATATTGCATATTCAGATATTGCTAGTTGCTACGCAAACGTAGAACGATGCTTGACGGCTCAAAATACGCATCCAAGTTTTGGTATGGGGTCATGAATTTGGTTAAAATGAACATATTGTAAGCATAAGCGATCCAACACTATTCAGTGGTCGTTGTCGCGGTTCTAGTCCAAATTTATGAAATTGTAAATGATAAACTCATTATGGTGTATAGCTCCCTCTCAAGGTCAAGATATTAATTAAGCTATAAAAACAATGTTTCTTGACTAAAATCGAACGAGCTATTCCCGTTTGGAAATTATATTATCACACTACATATTCTGAGATTTCCATGGTCGCAGCTGCCATAGTACACTCTAATAAATGAAGTGCTAAATCACGGGTGCTGGGTACAAATTTGCACCACACGTACCAAGTGTAGCCCTTTGCGTGCTCGCAGCTTTTGGGAAGCGATGACGAGCAGAAAAATGAGTGCTGGAAACACGTGCTATTCAAGAAATTGCACCTGAAGTGTGACCCTGCCTGTTTTAGCACTTGAAGAAACACCGGTAGTGCTGGCGCTCCATGCGCAGGCGCACCAGCGTTCCAGGTGCTAAGGCAGTGCTTCACACAAACAAAATTCAAAGCAATTTAAAATTCAAATGAGATGTGTCGCCACTCGGCTATAAAAGAGCGGGGATCTGAGAAGGTATTCTTCTTTTTGGAGAATGTAAGGTGGAAGGGGCTTGTGTATATATGTACAAAGAAATTTAGTGTATTGAATGTGTGTGCATGCATATCAGTGCTTCACACAAAAGAAATTCAAAGTAATTTAAAATTCAAATGAGATAGGTCGACACTCAGCTATAAAAGAGCGGGGATCTGAGAAGGTATTCTTTTCATTGCCTAATAATTCTGCTTGTGCATGATACTATTTCCAACATTCTACATGGAAGCAAGACTACCACGTACTACATGCAATTGACATAGACATGTGCAATCTCAATGTAACAGTAAAAACTTCCCATTCATTACCATGAGTGTGACATGTGGCGTCTTGAGGGGTATGTTTTAGGTGATCAAAGTAGGCTAAAAATAATGTTAGGGCTGTTTAACAGAAGGGTGAGTTTCAGCACTACAGGTGTGATTTTGTGCATGCTGTTTGTATGTGTTCTTTAGCACTATATTGGGTGCAAAAGTGTTAGCACTAGTGCCGTTTTACATGGGTTCTAACATGGGTTATTTAATGCACTAGAAGTTTTTTTTTTTTGCGAGCTGCATGCGTCTAATAGCACCAGAAGTGTAAAAAGACTTACACTTAAAGTTTTTAAAGTAGCACTTGGACTGGTGTTGAAGTATAGCACGTGTACATGTGCTATTTTAGCACAATTTGGGCAGTCCCTATGCGTGTCCTTACAGGTGCTGCCTCCAATTTTTAAGGTGTTAACATTAGCACTTGATTTTTTAGAGTGTACGGCCGTAGGCGCTCTTTGAAAATTGTACATTAAATTGTTCTCGTAAGCAGAAGGGTTTTAGGGCCTAATCTTTCTAGTGCGTATGATACATCTACAGGGGCATTAACATATATCAAAATTGTAAGGAAGCACCTAATTTTCAAGATTTCTTAAAACTTTGTATTACTTGTAATGTACAGTACTGGTACTTGTGTTCATCATGATGAAAAGTGTATTAATCTTCAGTGACTATAACAAAAATTACCAAACGCATTGACCGGGGGGGGGGGGAGGTACTAATGTGTAAAAGGTCATTTATTTTGCTGACTAAAGTAATAAAGCATACGCTATACTATGTGTTGGACACATTGATGATAGGTGTGGATAACAAGTTATACACTGGTGGCACCTACACCTTCAATCACAATTGTTATGATCCATTTTCTTAATTTAATTTTTAAATTTGGCCCACCGAACGGCGCACTGTCCGCTTGAATATTGTAGTAAAACAATAACACTATTGCTTGTTTTATTGACCTCATTATAAACAAGTATTATAAACCACCTACTTTTGAAATTGCAGATATCCAGACAAAAATTGCATGCTAAATCACAGCTGTCTGTGTACCTAACTATTACTCTTTAAATAACAGAAGGTTCATAACTCAGAAATATTACTCTGTTGCGCCGAATTGGTAGGCATGGGAAATGAGTTTCTTATTTTCATTTCTGTATATATGAAAACAAGCTATAACCCCCGAACACACATCCCACACACCCACCATATATACACACATACACACACTCACATCTAATATGCCATTAATGTCACTAAAGCCTAAATAAATATAGGTTTGTCTTATTTCGAGCTAAGCGGCGCCACTTGCTTCCTACCTCTATAAACTAATGTACTTGCTTTAAACACAAACTTTTTGCTGTTTACTTCTTTAGGTTGAGGGGGCGTTGTATACATTGTCCATTCAGTGATGATTGAGTGTCTGAGAAGTTTGATAAGATTTGTTCATACGTAAATAAGGGTGATCTAAGCATTTTGATTGTACAACATGTAGAATAGAAAGGTCTACTATAAATAACAATAATTGAAGTTGGGACACACGCGTATAAGTTTGATCAAATTATTGATTAGTAATCAGCAGGTATTAAATTCGATAAGCCTCTACTCCATGATGAACTTGAAATTGAGATATATAAATCAAAGACAAAGCGGGTTATGCTATATCAAGTAGATTGCGGTTGTGTGTCAGTAATATAGCATTCTAAGGATTTGTTTTCTTCCATCACCCTAGCGAAGTAGAGTACATTTATACAGCAGCGGCGCTTTATAAATCTATCATTTGACTGTCATCATCATTCAAATGTTGTTGTTGCATTTTTTTTGCCTCGACCTTCTCTTTCACCGCTGTTTACCACGTCACTGGTGAACGGGGCATTTCAGTACACTAACTGCAATATTCCATTCAATTAGTTCAACCGATTGCTTTAGTAAGCACATGTATATATGTTAAAGTTGCTCAAGCGTTGGTATATAGAGGGCAGCACATGGACGTACGCAATAAAGGGACACAAGTACGCAAGAAAGCGTAATACCCATTGGCTCAGTGTCATGTAGTGTTTGGGAGTGATCGGCATGTTGCCTACTTCACAAACGACTAGTATATACCCACGCTTGAGCAACTTTAAGTGCAGTTTGTTCGTGCGCGCGCGTGTGTTTATGGGAGGGGGACAGTGTAGAGGTGAGGCCATTTGTGTTGATGAAGTCACTTCGTTATGGTATTATCTATTATGTACCTTTACTACATTTAGTAGTTGGTTAACTGCTTGCAACGAACCTACAAAAAAATGTCAACAGTTTCATGAACAGAATTGTAATGATAAAGTAGGTCCACAATTAAAAGAAAATGTATATTTTTACATAGCTCTTCGAAAAGGGTGAATTGAAAATTCATCACCGGAATATACCTCAATTATACTTGCTGTCTCTCTCTCTCTCTCCCTACCTAGTTTTCATTGTTATCAGATACGACCAAGTGCTTTCTTTATCGTTTAAATCTTTAAAGTCATAGTCACTCATATCTTTAGGCTGCATAAAGAAAAAGAACTCATGACCCGCGCGTTCCCGGCTCATAGATCATTAATTCGATCAATGTGAATATCATATAGATTTGTGATAGCTGCACACAGAACATGAACTTGAGACCCAAGCGGTCGTGATTCATAAAAGTCAATATTTACTCATCACCTGCCTAATTCCAAAGATCAAGTGCACTTTAGGCAAGAAATGGAAGATAACAAACAAACACCGTTTAAATTTATCGAGGGGTAATGTTGGAAGATGTGTTTTATATGTCTTATTATTTGTTCAGTGTTTGTTTAGAAACCACTCGCGTCATATGAGGCTACGTGCAAAGTGCCATATCAGTTGTTATGTTAAGGGTACGTCAGGGCGAAGTAAATATATCAAATTAAGCCAGTAAGTGAATTATCGTAGTCCTATAGACTTAACCCAAGGACCACTAGCTTCCAGTAGGCAGAGTTAATAAATTGATATAAGATTGTGTAGTTCTATTTTATTTTATTAGAACTTGCCAATTCAATCTATTAGCACTTGCCATTTAACTAGTTTCTTTGGCTAGATGTCATTCATATAATTTACTATATTATGATTGTCGTGGTCTAGTGGATAGGACATCGAGCTGTATATTGCATGGATAGCACGAGTTCTGTCACGGCAATATTGTTTAAATGGGAAGACATTTGTCTACATCTGCCATTCTCCACCCCGCTGTAGTCAATGGATACCGTGTATAAATGTATTCCTTAAATGCTTTTAGCACCTTACGGCTAAATTCAGTGTAATAACATTGCTTTGTATTTGCGCATTGCGCCTCTCCTAGGATGGGGGTGTGTACACCATAAATATATATATATATATTAC